TTTTTTTTTTTTTTTAAACTAAAGGGAAACCATATAGAAATCTCCCCCAAAAGGTGTGTGTATCTGCTAGTGCTCTCCCTCTGGTTCTCAGAGAGTAAGCCTAAATCCAAACTCTTGAGTCTAGGCCTACGTTTCCAAGCCGTTATGATTGGGGATTTGGAAGTCAAAAGATAAAATTGTGAATGAATGTCTGTCTGGGCAATTTATGGTAATAATGAGGCCTAATGAGGTTGTTAGAAAGATAAAATGTTATTTACCAAAAAACCTGATGGGATAATTTGACTTGCTGTGTTTTACTACAGATGATAAAAAGAATATTGATCGCAAATAAATCACGGCCTCTAAATGCTTGCAAACAGTTTGAGCTTCCTCTTGCCACATCACAGTCAAACTTCAGAGATAAACTAAGTGAGAATAGGCCTAGGAGAGCAGTACCCCTTCACACAGCCGGGACTCCCGGGCCCTCGCGTTAATATTTTACGGGTTAAGCCCTCCTTTTGTATTTAAAAAAAAACAAATGGTGTTTTTGTTATTGTTGTTGATGATGGCCAGGATTAAAATTTTAAATTACCTGTCACCACTGTCGACCTTTAAGTGTGGGGAACCATTATATGCAGATTAATTTGGGAGCTAAAAGGAGTGTGCTTTCATTTTAAATTGCTGGTGGATTTGGACCCAAAGAAAACCTGAGATGGTTTATTTTGCTTGACCCCCTCAGGGTCAGAGGGGGCTTAGGCTTTAGGTTCTTTACATTTGGAGAAACTGTTTTATCAGCGCAGTTAAAAGGTTTTCCTTTCTAGTTAGTGTGAGATAAACTTGGAAATTAAGGCTGTTGAAGTTATTGTGGGTGGTGGGGGTGGGAGGACTGAGGGACTCCTAGGGAAATTCTATGGGGCCATGGCTCCTGCTGTGATCTTCTGGAAATGCACAGATTCTGGAACTTCTCTTGAGTGACAAAAAATAATAAAAATAAAACCAACAAGAACAAAACAAAACAAAAACAACCTCTTCATGAAGGTTGGAAGCTCAGTTTTTAGAGGAGGCTGAAGATTCTGGCCAGTCACTTCCTCCCTGGGTGGTGCACTGGGGGCCTTCGTGTTCTTGAGCTGACAAGAGCAGCTGCCCCTGACTTTACTAGTTTTGGGGACTCATCGCGCTCTCTTTCTCTCTTTCTCTCTCCACCCCCACACCCCTACTCTCTCTCTCTCCTCCCTCCATGGGCTTTGTGGTTGCAGGGCTCACAATATGAACTCAAAGACAACCCCGGGGTGCACCCTGCCACCTTCGCAGCCCACACGGCGCCAGCCTACTACCCCTATGGCCAGTTCCAGTACGGGGATCCCGGGCGGCCCAAGAACGCCACGCGCGAGAGCACCAGCACGCTCAAGGCCTGGCTCAACGAGCACCGCAAGAACCCCTACCCCACCAAGGGCGAGAAGATCATGCTGGCCATCATCACCAAGATGACCCTCACGCAGGTCTCCACCTGGTTCGCCAACGCGCGCCGGCGCCTCAAGAAGGAAAATAAGGTGACGTGGGGCGCGCGCAGCAAGGACCAGGAGGACGGAGCCCTCTTCGGAAGCGATACGGAAGGCGACCCTGAGAAGGCTGAGGACGATGAGGAGATCGACCTGGAGAGCATTGACATCGACAAAATCGACGAACACGACGGCGACCAGAGCAATGAGGACGAGGAGGACAAGGCCGAGGCGCCGCGCGCGCCCGCGGCACCTACAGCCCTTGCTCGGGACCAGGGCTCGCCGCTAGCAGCCGCCGACGCGCTCAAGTCCCAGGACTCGCCCCTGGGCCTGGTCAAGGAGGTCCCGGAGCCTGGCAGCACGCGCCTGCTGAGTCCTGGCGCCACGTCGGGTGGCCTGCAGGGCGCGCCGCACAGCAAGCCCAAGATCTGGTCCTTGGCCGAAACGGCCACAAGCCCCGACGGCGCGCCCAAGGCCTCGCCGCCGCCTCCCGCCGGCCATCCCGGCGCGCATGGGCCCCCCGCGGGCACGCCGCTGCAACACCCCGCCTTCCTGCCCAGCCACGGACTGTACACCTGCCACATCGGCAAATTCTCCAACTGGACCAACGGAGCGTTCCTCGCGCAGGGCTCCCTGCTCAACATGCGCTCCTTCCTGGGCGTCGGCGCGCCCCACGCCGCGCCCCACGGCTCGCACCTGCCTGCGCCGCCGCCGCCGCAGCCGCCGGTCGCCGTGGCTACAGGGGTGCTCCATGGTGACAAGGCCTCTGCTCGCAGCAGCCCCGCGCTCCCAGGTATTGTGCCCAGGGGTGTCCGCCCCACCCCAGGCGTATTGTGGGGGTGGGGGAGCGCCGGCCGGGGAGGGGAGAGGCGGTAGCAGCCAAACCCGGGGATGAGCCGTAATCTCTGCCTGGATTAGGGGACTGAGGCCAAGGCCCTAGGCTCCGTCAGGAGAGCTGAGTTCTACCTGCGGGCCTGCCTAGGGAAGGTGAAGGATTTTCTTGGAGACCCTATCCTTGCTGTGAGAGGGAGGGGGTGGGTGGGGAAGAGGCTTGAGCACCTCGGCAGCAACCCCCCCCACACCTGTCTCTTAATGCTCGGCTTCTCCCTCTCCCTCGCAGAGAGAGACCTCGTCCCCAGGCCGGACTCGCCGGCACAGCAGTTAAAATCGCCCTTCCAGCCCGTGCGCGACAAGTGAGTGCTGTTTGCTTGTACTCTCCGTTGGCCGCGGCTGGCGCGGGGGTGGGGTGCGGGGGAGGAGGGTAGGGGGCTGGAGGGCTGAGCGGGGCCAGCCGGTAGGGTCTGACAGTCATTGTGGAAGGGGTGCTGTCCACCAGCCCGGCGCGCGGGGCCCTCTGGCTCCACCGGGTTTCTCCCAACCCGGGAGCCGCGCGGGGCGGGCGACCACGCCCCCAGGCGCTGGGCTGGCAGAACCGGTGACGCCGGGTCCCAGCGTCCATCCACTGACCCTTCTTGTTCTTCTTGTCTCGCTGTGTTTCCCCTGCAGCTCGCTGGCCCCCCAGGAGGGAACGCCCCGGATCCTAGCAGCCCTCCCGTCGGCCTGATTCAGGGTCTTCTTTTACATTTGCGGGGGGAGGGGGGAGGAGTTCGGGAGGGAGGGGATGAGGGAGGAATTAGGACAAATATTTCAGACTGGTGTAACGGACAAATATAAATATGGCCACGACGTCGAGGACTCCCATCCATCGCTTTCTGCAGAAAGGGGCTCGTCCTGCCCGAGCTCCAGTGCAGGCAGCCTGGCCTCTGCCCTTGGCTCTGGTGGCTGGCACCATGCTCTGGTTCGCTATCAGCTCGGTAAATGCCCCACGTGCTTGTGTCTTTTTTTTTTTTTTCTTCCTTCCTTCTTTCTGTATATAGAGTGATTTCAGATTGTAAATAGCGCGTCAGCGAACTTGTCTAAATCATATATTTTTGTCTAATAAACTAAATGAAATGATGCTCACTGCCCCCCTGCTGTGTGTGGCTGGGTGTCTGCGAGAGTGTCCGGAATCCTGCAATGCTGGCAGGGCCCAGATGCCCCTGGCTTTGGGAAGAGAGGCTCCTTGGGGAGTTTCTGCCGGCGGAGGCCAGTATTTCTCACAGTCTTTTGGTGGTTGTTGAATTTGTTAATATCACCAGGGCAGTTTCTTTGTAGGCAGTTTAATTCTTTCCAACCCTTAGACATTTATCGAGGGCACGCCTTTCTCAGGACATAAATGACTTCGATTTTCAGCAGTTTATAAAATGATTTCTTAAAGTGGGCAACAATGGGGGAAAAATGAAAAGAATTTCCAATTATGTCCCCAAAGGAGAACTTCGGATTTGAAATCAATTTATAACTAGTTGTCTCAACAGTGCATCCTGGCGTCGGTTCGTTTGGTGGGTAGAGTGAGGACATAATGGAGTATGAAATTTTGGCTTTGAATATATTTTGTAGTTACTTGGTTAAATCAAACGTGGAGAGAGATTGGAAGGCTCTTTTAAAATGTCCTAATGGGCGGGCAGAGAGATGCAGCTCGGGAGTTCTCTCGGTTTGTGAGCCAGGGAGCTGAGGTAGCCTTTCGGATGAGAAAGAGGGGTGGGGGCTTTGGTTTCCCAGGGACCCCCCTTTAAACTCAAGAGCCTTGGACGGGCACACCAAGAGAGCAGAGGAAAAACAAACCTCGGATGGCAGGGTCTGGGAGGTAGCTGGGAATGATGGTAGGACAATGCGGGACTGAGCTGGCCTCGGATGTGCATGGGTGGGAGATGGCCCAGGACCTTGGGGGATCACAGTGGTCAGGGTTTCCCGACTCCAGGAGTGCTCGGAGGGGACTGGCCACCACAGCTGCATGTCAGACAGGGCACAGATGACTTTACGCAGAATTCGTGAAAACTGAGAATACAAGCATTAACAAAATCCTCAGTGAGGATGTGAGCTGCAGGGTAACCTGCCCAGTGGGAAAGAAGCCTAGTCCCTGTTGCAGGACAGGACCTCCCCAATCCCCGCCGAGGCTGGATAGTCAGCACCAGCTGCCTGGGGCCTGCCAGTGGCGGCGAGGGGCGCCTCAGCGAAAGGGGAAAGTCTGGGCGCGGCTCTCTGTGTCCCTGGCTCCTCTGTGGCGGGGGAAGGGGCGGCTCGCGCTGAGGACGTGGGGATCCACCCCACCGGGGACTGACTGCCCTTTTACAGATGCCTGCGTCTTCTCCAGCCCCCCACCAACCCCGTCCCAGTCCTTTCAGAGGAAGGGGTCCCCTCCCCGCCCCCGAGGCTGGAGGAAGAGTGGCGAGGGGAGGCGCGAAGGCGGCGGGAGAGCATGCAGGCGGCACGTGAGGGTGCGGGCCGTGTGGAAGCGCGGGAGGAGTGGGGCCGCGGAGCCTGGCGAAGGGCTGGCCGCCTGCGGGCACGCAGGGGCTGCTGCCGCGGTGGAGACGCTTCCAGTCCGAATGGACGTGCTCGGCGCGCCCTCTATGGGCTGGAAGCGGAATGGGGTCCTGAACGCGGCGTTGATGGGGCTCCTTGGGGCATGGCACATGATCTGGGGTGCTGGGCCTCGGAGTTGCCGTGGGTAGGAGCCTGGATTTGTGGTGGTCTGGCTTTCTGTGTGCTCTTGGGCACCACCAGTTGTTTGAATTTGGGGATGCTGTGGCAGGCCTGCTGGTTGGACTACTGGCTTTTGTGGGGAGGGTGTGGGTGCCAGGTCCCAGGCAGGGCGCTTTCATTGTCAGGGTGGAACTTGGAAATTTGGAGAGGAGTTCCTGTTCTGCCCTGGACACTAGGGCTTCAGGGGTCACTGCACCCTCAGCTCCCCAGTCCAGAGCTCCTGGGATGGGTCCTCACATCCCACCCTGACCACTGGGGACAGATGGATCCTGTGTACTTGGCAAGAGTGCGATCGAGAGAGTTTTGACCAGGGGTATCTTGCTGCTGTGATGAGGAATGGCATTCTTGGCGCAGGGACATGGTGCCCTGTCATCCACAGTGCGCTGGTAGATCCCTCCTGGGTAACTGCTGGAAGCATCAGGTGGGATTCAGGTGGGTGGCAGAGTCCTCTGCTGCCGGCAGCCTCCGTGCTTTCATTTCCCAGAATCAAATAGGCTGGCCCACGCAGGCCTCGGCTGCTTGCACACCCCATATCTCTGTTCTTTTCTTTCTTCCTGTTCAATACTTTTGGGACCCCTGAATGCCGCTGCCCAGGGGCCTGGACCAGCATGTGCTCACCAGCTGAGCCCCATGCCTGAGAACCCAGTGGTCTAGAAGTCCTGAAGGGTCTGTGCTCCCCCCTGCTGACAGAAGTTTCCCATGCAAAGAAATCAGACCTCCATCCTCAGAATTATTTTGCTCGTGTGAAAAGGTAGAGATGAATTTTTAATCAAGCATTGAAAAATCATTTTTGTTCTTTGTGCATGATTTGTAACCACCCTCCCCCCCCCCACCACAGCCACCTGAGCGTGCATGCGAGGGTGCGTGGCTCCCCAGTGGGAGCACCTGCTGTGCATGCTGTTTCAGTTCCTGAAATATCTGGGAGTAGACCTAGAAACCACTTTTTTTTCTAAAGCCGAAGCAGAAGTTCTTCTGGAACTTTCCGCCTGTGCGAAGGTGCTTTAATACTCTACGCCTGCTTAGGGACAGTTTCTGGCAAGGAGGAGTTTGAAGCCAAAAAGGGGTAGGAGTGAGGGATGTCCACGGGATTAATATTTGTAACTTGGTGCCCCCTCCTCTGATGGGGAACTAGAAAGGACAGCCTGTGTCTGGGGCAGGGGATTTCTGTCTATTGACTCTTCTGGTAGGGAAGGGTATGAAATCCTGTGCGGAGACCCTCCCCTTCCTGCTCCAGTGCAGGCCTGTGACAAGGAGACAGTCAGAAGCTCATACCTTCTAGATTCCCCCCTCCTACCCCATGTTCCTAGCTTGAAGACTTGGGGGGTGGGCACAGGTCCCACCCGTCATTGACCCCCTGGATGCTGGAGTCTGAAATCTCTCTGTTCCCACCATCCATCCCTCCCTCCTTCGATCAATTATATTCACCAGCACATTTATCTCGCCTGCAATATGGAGAATTCATATTCATATCTCGGTTTTAGTGCTCTGACACTGATTAATGTAATACGCGCCATGGCTCCGAGGGGCGCGCCACCCGATGAATCATGCCCTATAAAGTTTCAGTCGTCCTTGTAGATGGGGCTCTGCTAGAGAGCCAAGAAGCCAGAGAGGGAAAGAGGGAGGAGAAAGGAGAGAGAAACGGCAAGGTGGCCACAGTGTCCGGGTGCCCTGGGACAGACGCTGGCCCTCAGCCCCCAAACGTGGAGGCTTTGGCTGGCCCTGACCCCTCTGCCACATCCCTTCTCCTGAGTTGGGGAATGAGGTTCTGGTCTGACCCAGCTGCCCTCTTTCTTTTCCTTCTGGATGGTGCAAGCAGGCTAGAAGTTGCCTGGCTGCTCCCAGCCAGGGTCCGGGTAGGACTGTGGCTGCCGGCTGGAGACCAAGGATTTATGGACACTGATTTGGAGAGTGGAGCCAGGAATGCTCTCCCAAAAGTGACAGGGTCCAGTTTGCCGTGGAGAATGGGATATTAATCTTGCATCCCCCAAGCTGGAGTTTGGAAAGGAGGGGAGGAAGCCAAGCGCATGGTTGCTGGGTGGGGGCGGCTCTGAACAGGTTTAGAGTATGTGGGCAGTAGGGACATGGAAGGCCCTTGGAACCTCTGGTGGTCTCCTCCCACCAGACTTGTGCTGCATGGGCCACGTGCAGGACCGAGCACTGTGACACCAATCAGCTGGGCTCTCAGGTTTCCAGGGACCTGAGAGGGGAAAGTCTGGGGTACCTGACACTGAGCACATGCCTTGTGGCCCCATGACTTAGCAGGCCCCAGGGAAGCATCCTGGAGGACAGTCCTGGCTCATCTTTTTTTTTTAAAGATTTTATTTATTTATTTATTTATTTATTTGAGAGAGAGAGAATGAGAGACAGAGAGCATGAGGGGGAGGAGGGTCAGAGGGAGAAGCAGACTCCCTGCCG